CTTTTAAAATTAATAAAAGAATGTTAAAAAGAAGTTTGGTGGTCATAACGAAACGTTATATGAAATTAGGTGATCATGGTGAAATAAAATCAAATTGGATGGACATGGTGACTCTAAGTATAAAATTGGATGGCCGCAGTGAAAGAAATCAAATTGGATGAGGACAATAAATTTAAAGTTAGGTGGCCATGAATAGATTTAACCCTTTGGTATATGTACAATTGAGCTTTGACAGCCCTCGGGGTATAATCTAGTGGTACAAATGACAAGAGTGAGGTAGTCGTAGCCTTGTTGGCAGCCGCACTGTGAGTGTTCAATGCTTGAGATATGAAATTGAACTCTTTGTGGGCACCAATGTACGGGTAAACTCTTGTTCCTTGACCTGCTGAGATACATCCCGCTTTACCTCTCTTACTATGCACCAAGGACGGGGCAATGGGGGCCCTCAAGATTGGGGTTCAACTTTTTTTTTGCAATTGAGCTTTGACATAAGTTGCATCTGAATTTTTTATTTTATTTTTTCCCTTTCTATTACAAAGAACAAAAAAAAAAAAGAAAAAAGAAGAAGCTTATATTGATATTATAAAAGGAAAAAAAAAATATCACTCTGTTACTTTTAAACCGCTAGCTATTCTCAAGTATATTGCACATTTTTTTACATGGATCATATTTTTTAGAATCTCTCCGAACTAGCAAGTTTGATCTTGCGAATCGGTGAATCAACGAGTTAATTGAACAAAGTAGGTTAGGGAACTAGTGAACCGATCAATTTATTAAGGAGGTTCTCAGAATGAATCAAAGAAGACATTCACCACGATAAATAAAAATAGATTGACCCAATTAAAATTTTAATTGTCACGTTCTATTAAAATTAATGAAATTTCGTGAAACTTTTCATTTAAATTATTGAATTCTTTAAAAAAAAATAATAATAAAGTTAAACGGGGTGAGGGCCCTTGTTACCTTACTCGCCCCCAAGCGAAATTTCTCACTCAATTATCTACCCGAATACCAACTTAAGTGGGTAATTATCGCTCCATGGGTATCGGGTTTGATAAGTTTTTTTTTGTCATCCCTACTATTTGGTTGATATTACTGGATCTAGAGCAATATTTCTTAGCAATTGCTCAACGGGTGATCAGGTTTTAATACCGAACATTTGAGCCTTTTTAGGGCAAAATAGTTTTTGTGTTCTTGAGTTTTTCTATTTCTGCATCTTTACAAAATTTTACTTTTACGAACTTTAACACTTTGCTGAACAGTCTGGGTATAATAACTTTCGATGAGGCGGGCTGTGCGACTGTTAGCAGTTTTTTCAATGATGAAGATCACAGTCAACCGAATGAACTTTTCACATAAATTCAGAATGTCCTCCCAAAAAATTACTCTAACAAAATTTATTTTTCTAGAAAATGGGTTCAAACAAATTATTAATCATCTTTTAAACTTGGGTAAACAATGCTCAATCACAAAATTCTGACTTCGAGCATAAGAAAAGATGCTCTTTTTCTTTCCCTCAACATGATTTTGACATATAGTATGCTTGCATAATTACTTGCCCAGGCTTTGGAGACCCCACTGATACTCTTGTTTGCTATTCTAGGGAGTTTCAGTATGGAAGAAGTGGGGCCATCTCAAGAGCGTCATAATCTAAGAGCTCAAACTATATGATTGAAAAATCCTCTTCTATCTATTGTGGTTCAATGAATCCCTCTCCCTTCCCATCTACAAACTCCAAAGTCCCTTTCACAAACGTGAACTGTATACTACATAATTAAAGGCATTCTTTTCTTTGGTCCCTTCGTGTTTTGCATGTACGCACGCACACATATATTCCAATTTGTAAATGAATAGACATGCATTTTTTCACGCATGGCCCTCACTCAAAAAAAAAAACGTGACTCAATCTTGTTCGTACAACTTAAAATTTGTTTCTTGATTCCCTTTTCATCTTATTCGCAAAGGACATACAACAAAACAACATTCTAATTTATCGAATTCCATTAACTAACAATTGTGCGAAGAAAAAAAATGATATAACATCAAGTAGAAGAAGCTAAAGTGAGAACAAAATTAGCATTTGATTTGTCAATGCATGTATATCATATTTTCATATTAATGGAAATGTGAAAGAAACCTAACCCGCATCAAATTATTTTTATTCAAAGTCACCAAATTGATTAATAATTTAAAATATTTTAAATCAGTTGAGGACAGTCCATATATAAAATTAAGATAAATTTTATCTTATTTGACTCTTTTTATTTTGATAAAGAGAATTAATTGTTTTTAATTAATAGAATATTGTTAAAAAATGAGCAGAATATTTTGAGTAGTTTACAATTGGATAGTCTAGCTGGAAAATGAAAATAACACGTAGGATTCGTACTCGTGGCATAAAACTATTGGTTGATACGGCATAAAGATGGCAACACATTTCTTTATAATATTCGCAACACAGATAAGTCGGAGTTGGCAAATCCAATAATATGCATGCGGCTAGAAATTCTCTGTTGACGTGTACTCTACCACTTTAAACCCAATTCACACCATGAGTCCATTAAAATTTCTTTGATTTGATTTGATTTGATGTACTGGTTTTGATTGATTCATATTCATATATTCTCCATCGAAGCCCAATCATTGATTCCAATTTTCTGAAATGTCTTTCATGCACACGTTCTTCGGCCCTGAGGAAGCCAAGGTCGGCAAGTGGGAGAAGGCAAGATAAGAAAACAAACCCAAATTTCTCGTTTCTCTTTTGATCAGGTTAGTTTTTGATAAAATTCTGTTTTTTGTAAAAACCCATATTTGGATTCATCACGTTTGTGTGAAGTTGTTCTTTTTCAGGCATGTCGACGAGTATCATCGGTGATGATTCGAAAATTACAGGGAAAAATGAGGTTGATTTTGTTGAATGCGATTGCTGCGGATTGACAGAGGAATGCACCCTGTCTTATATAGAGACAGTACGCGAGCGTTATAAAGGAAAATGGCTTTGTGGGCTATGCGCAGAGGCAGTGAACGATGAAGTTTTACGTTGCGAAAAGCAAAAATTGATAAGCCCAGATGAGGCTATGGCTCGCCATTTCAGCTTCTGCCAGAAGTTTAGGTTCGCCGGGCCACCGCCGGATCCAACCCGGCATTTGATCACTGCTATGAGACAGGTATTGAGAAAGAGTTTGGAGAGTCCCAAGTTGATAAGGTCGATGCCAAGCAGTCCCACGAAGTATGTTGACATGAAACTCAACGGGTTGACTCGGTCGGAGAGCTGTATTCCGAGTCTGTCCGATGTCGATGCATCGGTTTGTTTTGGAATGGATGAAGATTGTGAATAGCCAGCCAGATGGTAAATTCTGAAACAAAAAAAAAAAAAAAAAAAAAAAAAAAAACCC